TATGTTTGTTTTTGCTTCATTATGATACATGTATGTATGTGAATTTTGCATTATTGATCACACTTCTTGTAAGTAAGATAGATGAATGATGAATGACATGAATCATGACTTAATTGTATGAACTTGATATTATACTTATGATTGTAGTTATGGCTTGCTGAATTGATCGGGTGTTGCGTTCCTACACACTAACATAGATCCGTTGCCACATTCCGGCATAATTATGGTATTGGTTGCCACTTTTCGGCATAAATATTGGATCAGGTGTCATGTTCCGATATGCTAATAGTTTGGGTTTGGATTCCATGAGAGGAACAGTGATTTGATATAATTGTGAATCTTGAGCAATGTAAAAATGTACTTTTTCGTAAATATTGATAATATTGTATACATTCGGTATATGCATATGGTTATATTGTTGTAATGGCTTTTGTATGTTCCACTAAGTGGGACAATCCTACCAATGTATTGTGATTCTGTACTGATACTGCAATTGCTATTTCTTTTTTTAGTACAAGGTATCTTCAAGCGGCTATTGACATACCTCGTTTAGAAGACCAATGATCGTCGCTTCAAATTCAAGGGTGAGATAGTTATTCCAGGCTGCCATGAGTTATCTATGTCCTCATTTCGGACTTAGACTTGTTCTAGTTAGTATTAGTTCATTAGTTTGGGTGTTGTATCCCTTGTTGTTTAGACTTGTTGACTTCTAGATTTTTTGGTACGTTCACTTTTAGTTTCTAGGCATTACTTTTGCAATATCAGTTATTTATCGTCCGATTTTTATTGAAGTTTATGGAACTCTATTCCATTCCTTAGTGTTTAACCTGCTTTCGTAACTTAAATGACTTAGTTTTTGATTAGTTGTTCTGTTTGGATTCTAGTAATGGTTGTCCCACCAGAGGGTTAGTGTGTTTGCCAATCACGATGGTCTTGGTCATGACATAGATTCCCCAATCAATTTAAGGTTTTATTCAATTGGCCTAGGTTCTTTTCAATGTTGATCCAATTGATTGTTTTATGTATTCTTATGCATGAATTGAACTACTTACATGTTTTTAAATTGAATTCTCATGAATCCATGCATGATCTATGATTTTCTTTATGAACCATGAAACATAAATTTATGAAGATATGACATGCCTTTTCTTTAATAAATTGATGTAAATGGATTTGAGGATACTTTGATTGTGAAAACATGATGAAGCTTATGAATTATTGAAAAATGCATGTGTTATGAAAGTAATGCTTATGACTCAAGTAAGCTTATAGATCAAGGTACCTATATATTCTATGAAACTTGTCCACAAGATATAAATGACATCTAGATTTACACTCGATGTTTTTCGACCTATTTTTCTAAATTAGGTCTTGATAAGTATAGTATCTGAATATGCCATCAATTATCATAGATCACACATTCAAGACTAATTTCTTTATTAATAAGGCATTTTTAGCATAGATTGAATGATTATAGGCCTCAAAAGCTATTAGGAAAAGATCATGAATGGTGAAAGGTTTCTCACGCACAGTCTAAGGAGCTATTCTAATGACTCTAGCTTGCATTGGCTACTTGACGTTCCCTTCCATGGATAATAAAATAGGCGGAGATTACCCTAGTCCCATAATGATAAGTCATGTAAATCTTAATAACTATTTTCTGGGGTTTATGTTTAGCACTGAGTGGACAAGTGACGACTACCCATGTCCCATAACTATGTACCACCATAGGATGATTGTCTTAAATAGACGATGACGGTCTTAGATAGACATCAACTTGTGGATCCACGTGAGTTAGAAGTTCATGGTCCTTACCTTGGAAAGTAAGACACTCTTTTCAATGTGGGAGGAGTGCACTAGATGGATTCTATGTTATAGCTCACATGGTCTATCTCAGTTCATGGCAACTTCCCATTATAATGAGCTTAAGTTACTTCAAGAAGTGTTTCACATGTGTTAGAAAGATGATTTTTACTTGCATTTCCCATGATCATGATTTATGTTCTCTGACCTCTTATCTTATGTTTTAACTTGGTCTTTGTGTCAAGAAAAAACCTTTTAGAATGATTTCATAGCTTTTATGCATTATTATCATACTTGATACAATTTATTTACTAACTAACGCATACTCCTGCCTACATTGTTTTCAAATGTAGGGTCTGACATTTCAATTTCGCATCCTCGTGTCTAGTGATGACTTAAGTAGTTGTAAAGAAGTGGTTAGTCCTCATGTTCTAAGGACCGAACTTTTTATTGCTTATCATCTTTACTTTTCTGTATAGTACTGTAATGTATGTATGCGTTACATCTCAATCATTCTTGATGTAATAGATGGGTATGAGACTATGTTAGACTTCCACTTTGTTTTTGTCAAACTCTTTATGATAAAAAAATATTCAGCAATAGACATAGATTCTCCCTTTAACTTCTACCGAAATGTCAGTTACATGTTTAAACTATCATAACGACCATTACACACCTTTACTATTGAAAAGTGTATTCACTACCACCATGGTACGTATAACACCACTCTCACAGTATGTGGTGTATTACACTCGCGGCCATATCAGCATTATGTCAGCGCCATGTCAGAAACTATTTTAAATATTTTTTTTAATGTTTTTTTCTTTATTAATTAAGTTTACTTTTGCTACCTATATTTGCACTAATTAATTATAAATTAATTAGTGAAATTCTCTAATAATTATATCTTCTTCAAAGAAGAAACTTTCTACAATGGCCACCAAGAAAATCTTTTAAAATTCAAAGTTAATCGGTAGAGTGATAGAATTTCTTTATTTTAAAAATTAATCACAAGAAGACTGCTTTCGTTTCTTGACCATGAAATCGAGCTTCTAATTGCAAATACTTTTCAGATTCATACATTTTTTTTCTTTTTCTATGTCCTCCATGGGGTTTCTTAAAATATAGGAATCATAAGAAAATAATTTTCTTCCTTTTGAATCGATCACCTATCTTTTTACTAAGAAAATCTCACCACATCTCTACGACTAAAACCCCTCCAAAATTTTACCCTGCCGATGATGTGAACAAACACAAATTAAAACCCACAAATCATAAGTCACCTAGTACTGGTTAATTTCTTGTTCGGAGGTTTATGGGTTAAAAGGTGGTGTTTTTGAAAAAACTTGTTACTACATTGCATCTTGTTATTGTTTCATTTAAGCTATTTGCGGGTGAAGAACACGAGAAAGGTGTGTACGAAGAAGAAGAGATGTGGGGATGGGGTATATAAGGAGAATTATGATTTTCTATTATTTTTTTACTTTAAAAATTACCTGACACACATGATTTGTTTTTATATTAATTTATTTTGCCACATCAAATTTAGAGGGTAAATACATTTACTTTTCAATAGTATAGGTGTGTAATATATCATCATGATAGTTTAAGTGTGCAACTGACTTTTCGGTACAATTTCAGGGGGGAATATATGTCTTTTCCCAAAAACTGTCTTTTGAGATCTTTCAATTTTATTATCTTGTGTGATGTATGTCAAGTGAGTAGTGTAGGGTCTCTCAGGTTCTTATACATCATATTAGTATAGGGTCTACTTTTGGTCGTAACACTTCTTTGTTTCTGAACTTCCATACTTGCCAAACTAAAATCTTAACTGGAATCTCTTCATAAGAAAACATTTCTTTAACTCCAAAACCTTTTAAAGGTACTTTAAGCGTCGGATCTCCAACACACTTTTTGAACAAAGAGACATGAAAAACAGCATGTACGGATGCTAATCATTAGGCAATTCAAATTTATAAGCAACTTTTACAATATACCTCAAAATCTGATATGGGCCCACGTAATGAGGACTAAGCTTCCCTTTCTTTCCAAACCTCATTGCACCATGTATGGATAAAAATTTCAAATAGACTCAATCATTAACATCAAACTCAAGCTTTCTTCTTCTTACACTGGCATAAAACTTATTGTCAATTTTGAGTCATTTTCAACCTTTCGCGAATAAGTTGAACCTTTTTCATATTCTTTTGTATCAACTCGGACCCGATTAATACAACCTCCCCAACACAAACAAACCTATAGGAGACCTACACCTTCTACCATAAACATCTTCAAACGGTGCCAACCCAATGTTAGAATGATAGTTATATTATAACCAAACTCAATCAAAAGCAAGTGATCATCCTAATTACCATTGAAGTGAATCACACAAGCTCTTAACATATCTTTTAAAGTTCAAATAATATGTTCATATTGCCCATCAGTATGAGGATGAAAAGTCATGCTAAGTTTCACTTGATTACCAAGATCTTTCTAAAACTACTTCCAAAACTGAGATGTAAACTGAACACCATGATAGAAAATAATATTCATGCAACCTAACATTAGATATAAATCTTCGCATATATGACGAAATACCAAGATTTTAAATTGACAGGACAATGTTCTCTTGTTGCAATAATATCCATTATTTTTTTCCAAATCCCGATGAATCGTCAGAATTTCGCCATGAATCCGGACAAACTTTAAACTAATGCAAACTTTTGCCTTGTCACTACTCTTGGTGAATCATAATTTTTTTCTCAATTATGACGGATTATCAAAATTATAATCACAAACTCTGACAAATTGCAAGAATTAGTCACAAAATTTTGACTGGTAACCATATCTTGTTATGTAAATTTTTTACCAACATACTCTTATTCAGAATTGGTCCGAATCAACTTCAAATAAGTCAAATTTCGATATACAATCTTTTATTACCAATTTAATAATTTGAAACAACAAGATTCAACTTAAAGCTTCAAAAAAACGATAAACCTATTTTGTTTTGTTTAGAAAAATTCAAACTCAACAAAACTTACAAATTTTCTCCAATCAAAACTAATTTCTCTATTGTGAACTGTGGATGGGAATTTATAATTTTAGATAAATTGGAAGAAAATAAATAATTATGTGAGAAGCTAAACTTTTTTTTCATCCCCCAACAAATAAATAAGTTTAAAATACTTTATCTTATGCCTTTGTTTTGCCCTTTTTCCTCATTAATTTTCCTCTTAAAGGAAGACACAGCTCGTAGGGTAGCGAGAACCAAAAGATCCGGATCCCACCTTCAACCTCAATATCTCGTTATCTACTCCTCTTGAGTTTTCATCTCAGGTAGCATTTGAAGATTCTTTTCCCCATATATTCTAGCTTAGTATGTGTAGTATGAAACTCTTTAGTTGCATTTATGCCCCCTTTTCCGTTTTGGGTATGTGACATTTTTGTTAAGTTTGAATAATATGGAGAATGTACGCAAATAACTAATCGCCACAGTTTGAACAGCTGTTAAATTCGACGGATCCAAAATTTTAAGTCAGTTGAAGAGAGGTCACTGCAACCCTCTGCTACGGTTGTGTTATTGAGTATGAACTTCGTGTTTAATTATGAGTATTTTAAGCATTGCCCTCTTTCAGCTGTAAAAAAGTTATATAGTTCTAGCCAGTGACAGTTGGTTTCATTTTAAATATTCAGTTTCAGATCTTGGTTAAATCAATAAATAGAACTGAGATTATAGTTAAAACAGCTAATATAAAACCAAAATAACTTGTTATAGTAAGATTGAAAGAGCTAAATCAAAATGAAATATCTTGTCTTTATAGTTATCTGGAGAGCTAGTGGTGCACAGTACTAAATTCGGTAGATAATGGTGTCGCCCCTCCACCCTTCTCCACTTAAATATGAGTTCTTTTTTTTCTGTGGCAGGGGTTTGAACTCATAACTTGTGCCTAATCCACACATCATTTGTTGCCCCCTCCCCTACTAGACTATTGTCGAGGGCACATTATGTTTGGAATGCACTTAAGTAAGTTTCCATTTGCAACATAGGAGGATATGTAAAAAATCTTAAATTCTGAAAAAGATCCTCACCCATGTTAATGGCGGAATGTGTTAGTCTGTTGTTTATCAAATATGACACTAGTAAATGTTTAGTTAAGTGGTAATCAGTTGTTCTGTAGCTGGAGGATGTTTCTCCTCTTTTGTTGGACATCTTTCCTTCTTAAAATCAAATAGATATTTATTGATTACATTGTTATTTCCTTGTATACATAACTCAAATGGCCTTGAATCATTTAAAACTAAGAAAGGTATAAGTGAGAAGAAGATATCTAGCTATAGTTTTTTTTTCATTCGCTTATTTATATTATTTTTAAATGAAAGGATCGAGCTCCTTATGCGTTCTACCTCCCATGTCCTCACTGAAGGTTAGCATTGAAGCAAGACAGCTGCATGTCCACCCTCTAACTCTTGAAGTACATCGTTTACTAAAAAAACAACTTATTTGTGTTGTATAATGCATATTCTATTTTAATTCTTTCAGAGAACATCTTACATCAGAGTTTCTTCTTTGCCTCATTTAGGTCCTAACGTTTCTTAGTCCTGTTAATACTTGGATGGCGTATTCTTAATATCAATTTGTGATGTTTAAAACTTTTGCGATTATGTTCTTGTAAACTTGCAATTAATGTGGAACATGTTTCAGTCATTGCAACTTTGTGAAAAAAAATGTCAAGAAGGCCAAATACCTCTCGCCGTCTTGCAGATGCTGGGAGCATTCCGTTTATCAGTGCCTTTCACCCCAAATCACGTCCATCTCCTTTATTGTCTATAGGACTTGTGGTTGTGGTAAAGGCCAATTTCTTTTTCTTATTACCTTTTATCTGTTGACGTGCCCCAATTATTATTAACAAAGTTTCGACACTTTTCATGAGAAGTGCTTGTACACGAAGACATTGTAAAGCGATATGTTTCTGGAAAAAAATTCAAAATAAAGAAAAATGTTTGCATAGATATGAATATTGAATTGTTTGAATTGAAAAGTTAATTCGATGATACGATTTATTCATGGGAAGCTTTATTTCATAGGCCGCAATGTTTAAGTTGAAGCGTGCATAGCGAATACAAGATTGTATGTTAATGAAGGGATCTTTTCAAGTGTCAAAAGTCCATCATTTTCTTGCTACACAAACCATGCTCACAGTAATGGAGGGTTGAGCTCCGTGTTCTATGCTTTCTTGTACCATCAACCCAATGGTGACTGTAGAATTGTAGGATTAAGATGCCATTTTTACCATAAAACAAGATCATGTAGAGCTCTCAGGCTTAAGTTTGATACACGAGGGCTTTATTTTTGTGATAATAACAAAAATGGGCTTATTGTTGTTACATAATCTGTAAGGAACTTAGAAGCTGTTCACTTTTGGTATATGATCAATTCATCGCACGATAACAGAAGCTTCAGCAGATAGGGCGAGAGAAGCTACCAAAAATGAGGGCTTGACTTGCCTTTTTTACATAATGAAAGATCATGAAGAAACACAAACATCATTTCAACGTTATTTTGATAATTCAGATACCAAATTTGTCATTTCCCCTTCTTGTATCTCATTGCTCATCAGTTTATGCCTTTATGGGAGGGTGGGATATATTTGAATTAATACATATCTTATTCTGCATATAAATGTCTTCTCTTCCACACTTACTGATATATCTACCATTTCATTGTTGAGCACGTTTTGCATAATCGCCTATGCTTTTAAGGGACTACTCTTTCTGGAAGTTTGAGAAAGTGTTGCCAAATCAAACTATCTGTTAATGATCTTATTACTGAATCTTAAATATTCCCAATGTAATTGTAACTGTTGATCTGATCTTTCATCATGACATTTCAGGGAGCATTGTTGATTATTGGTTATTTGTATCACGGTTCAGGTGAATTTTGTCTTATTGTTTGGCATTTCTCCCTATGGAATCATGTGTAGCAATTGTTTCTTTTATTATTTTATCTTCTATTAACATAATCTGTACAAAGAAGATTTCCTACTATCGTCATTTTCATAGATTGATTGCAGGCTTGGTATCTTTTTTCTGTGGCTTCTGAAGTACTTTCCCTTTGTATAGGTGGAGCTGTTGATGCTTTCAGTAGACATGAAGGTAACCAGCTACAACTGAATCAATCTTGCATTGCTACTCAACAAGAAGATGAATTACCTATTTACTTGAACATTTTTTAATCTTCCTAGGGAGGTGAAGTCAAAGGCTATAATTAGAATATTATTAAGATTTTGCTACTGAAGTCTGTTAGACCTACGTTTCCAGTGAGATCAATAGTATCTCACATATTTTTCTCTTCAATTTTTAGGATCTTTTTCTGCAAAATAGATACGGGGTGTGGTGCCCATGAAAACACTAGATTACTCATTTATATACATTGTACTTACTGGAAAGACTAAAGATCTGTCAAATGTCAATCTTGTTCACCCTGGAAAAATCCTCGGAGTAATACTTATTATTGTTAGCTTTTCTGTTCCTCATTTTTCCTATGAACTGTTTTTGCATACTTGCAAAGGAATAATCTCTGCTCTTGGTTATCCACCAGTAATCTTATTTAGAATTTGACTTCCTCACTTTCTTTATTTTTATAAATAACATTTTTAGGTGGTGTTTCATGCACATCAGAACTTCAGAGGGCATTGCCTATATTACAGAAAGCCTATGGTGACAGCATGCAAAAAGTATTGCACGTAGGCCCTGACGCTTGTTCAGTGGTGTCTACACTGTTAAAAAAGGAGGGTACTGAAGCATGGGGTGTTGAACCCTACGAGTTAGATGAAACTGATGAAACTTGCAAGAGTCTTGTTTATAAGGGAATAGTGCGAGTAGCTGATATCAAGTTTCCTCTTCCCTATCGTTCAAACTCATTCTCTCTTGTCATAGTGTCGGATGCAGTGGATTACTTGTCTCCAAAATATCTCAACAAGACTCTTCCAGAATTGGCAAGGGTGGCAGCTGATGGTTTGATTGTTTTATCTGGTAATTCAACAATAGTCTTGGCCTTTCCCCCCTTAAATAGTTCAAGCTAATATAAAATTCACATATAAACTCTAAGTGAGTCATTTAAATGTGAGGTAGGGTAAGCTTCATGTTTTTTTGTTGTTAGAGGACATTTCTTTTCAGGGTGATATTTCAGCGTAAGATGGCTATTCTACATTTTGCTAAAATATTGGTTGCATTTTTAGGTTATCCAGGTCAGCAAAGGGCTAAAGTGGCAGAACTTTCGAAATTTGGCCGCCCGGTAAGTCACTGATCTTTGGTTTGTACCTAAATTTCTAAAGATGGTATGTTTATTTATTTGTTTAAAATTGGAAAACACAGATCATCCGTCTTAATGCATATGCCGTGTAAACCAAATTCCTACAGTTATTTTGTGCTATAGATCTTTATGTTGAGTTTGCAAATAGTGTATTTCTTTTTTACATTTGTCTATTGAATGTAATTACTTTTAGCTGACTACCCAAATGTGTAACTTACTGTTAAAAGAGTCAAGAGTATTTAACTCATTTTAATTTGGGGTGGGGGGTGGGGAGTGAGAAGGGTCGATGGATACTTATCGTTTTTTGTCCATTTTGCCGGTACTAGTAATTTCTGTCAATCTCTTTTGGCAATGCTGGTGAAAACCCATTGTATGTGGATTCAGTAGAATAAAGATCGATGCACATAATTCAATTATACGTAACCTTTGGCTTTTTATCACCTATACTTCTGATCTATTCGGAAAAAGAAGCAGCACAGTGAATATGATGCTCCCCTTGCATGTTTGCTATTTGATTCTTCCTAGTCACTTATTGCATCTGTTCGAAGATGTTCTCTATTTGGAAGATTGAAACTTGTTTATCTTCTCTGTTTAGGCCAAATTGCGAAGTTCGTCTTGGTGGGTTAGATTTTTTACTCAATCCAGCTTAGAAGAGAATGAAGTTGCAATCAAGAAGTTTGAACAAGCGGCAAGCAAGAGGTCTTATCAGCCAGCTTGCCAAATTTTCCACCTCAAACCACTCCATTGAAAAATACTTATCTTTTTCCAAACAGGTATTAAGCATCTGCAGCTGTGTTAAATTATCGTTTGCCAATTGCCACGACAATCCGGCATTCCACTTGTGAAGCATCAGACCTGAATTAAAAAAAAAAATTGTTTAATGTGAACCTACATGGTTGATTCAGCAATTTTGTTGGAGGCATTCGGTATATATATATATGTATATATATATATATATATATATATATATATTGTTTGTTTTTTGGCACAGGTCAAAGGGGAAAGAAAGGAGGAATTCCACTTTGGAAAAGAAAAAGGCAGTTCCAAACGAAGGACCCTGGGACAAGCTTCCCGGTGTCCAAGCGTCAAGTCCCGAGGGGCCTGAAATAAATAGGCTTAGTTTTTCTTCACTTGAATCATAATTACAAGAATCTAGATTTGAGTGAATCTAGGTTTGAGTATCGTGTCCTAAGAAAAAAATGAATACATCCCACAGTAAGAGCTTTCAATCAATTTGTATTGCTTGTGCTTGCAGCACACAAGTGATTTTTTTCTTACAATCAATGGTTGAGTTATTGTGTAAACACGAAACACAGTAATGTTTGATTCATTTTTTGCCCCATAGAAGTGGATCTTTGTTTATCCAAACTTCGTCAAATACATCCATTAAAGCAGATGTTAAATAGTTAGGTTAAGCAAGTGCCATTCCAAAAATCGTATAAAGTTGGGACAGACCATAGAAACTTAGAAAATAACCACCATCAGGATAGTTGGTCAAATAGCAGAAATAAAGGAAATGTCTTACAAGAGAAACCATAAAAAGGAAACAGAAAGCAAAAAACAACAGGTCTTAGCAAACAGGCCAAGAAACTGGAAATAGAACAAAATGAACCCCAATTCAAAATTGATTTCCATTTTAACCAACACTAACTCATTTGTAAAATTTACTTTAACTTGAATTCAAGTTTTAACTGCATCATCTTCGTTCAACATTGTCTATTGGATTAGGTCCCTCGTCAGGTTCATCATCTATATCAGCTTCTTTGGAATTGTTGGATTCATGAAAAGGATATTCTTTAGCAGGCTCACTGTTAGACCATCTCTTTGAATTTGAAGCAGCCCTTCCATGTCAAAATCTTTTTGTTTGCAAATTACTTCTCAATTCTTTCGGACTCATCAAAAACCACATTACACCTTCATGAAAAGGATATTCTTTAGCAGGCTCACTGTTTAGATATCTCTTTGAATTTGAAGCAGCTCTTCCATCTCAAAATCTTTTTTGTTTTGCAATTGCTTCCCAATTTTTTCGAACTCATCAAAAATCATGTAACACCTTCTTCAATGCGGACATTTTCATACATCAGATAAGCCTCGTTGGAGGAAGAACATCTCACAAGTACTCTTTCATCATTATTGGGATCAAACTTCTCAATATCATCCTTTTGGTCACAGAAATGTTGTATTTACCACTTCACCCCGAAAGTTCTTTGGAAGATTAAAATCCCGTTTATTCCGCTTGATGGATAGTTTGATATGCTTTTCTTTAACACAAACATCACAAACTTTGTCATCTACAAATTTTTTTTTGCGTAGACCGTGGACCAGGTCCCTTGACACAAGTCTGTTTAGAGAGACGAGCTCAACTGACCGAGTTTCATGTATGATGGAGCACCTTGAGCTTTAAGGGAAGTGAGAATGTTACAACGAACTGTGTTTAGATCAGCAGTACATGTTCTTGCATCTCTTTTTTGTCAACATCATCATTCGAGAAATTAAGTTGTGACAACCCATTTATCTGACAAGAACTTAATTTCGTTTATCATAAAAATCCGTGAAACACTAAGATTGTACTTCAACACATTGACATAGTACACAACTTTAAAAGATTGTTCCACAGACTTTTAACTCCTACCTACACCAAAAAATGTACTATTTTCTTGTCATTTCCAAAAGAGACACATCCACCTTGAAGTGCCTTTGACAGAGGAAGTCTACTTGTCTCAGTCATGTGCTTTGAGCATCTACTATTCCTAAATCAATACTTCCTGACGCTACCTACTCTCACTTGCATAGGAAATCACTTGTTAGTCTTGGTAATCCATTTGAGACATAGTTCCATTTAGCAGATGACAGAGTGAAGAAAATCTTTTGTCCAATAAGGTAGACTGGTTTTCTTCAAACTTAGGACCAGAAACAAGACCATGCCCCTTCTTCTGTGTGTTCCTCTATTTAAAATTGTTTGAAGAACTTCCTTCATATTTTTTCCAAACATGACAATCTTTTTTAAGATGTCCATTTCGACCACAATGCATACATAGCAAATTATCAAGAACAAAAACATTTTTGCTCTGAGGATTGTATGGGGAATCTATCTTCTCACAACCCAACCCTTTTCTACTATTGTTACACTGGCTGGTTACATTTTTGAGCATTTTAGAGGAAGTGATTCATTTGAGAGGTTTGTTCAGTTCCTCTTTGCCTAGTTCCCTCTCCAACACAAAATATTTTTGTGGAGCCAATTTCATCTTCATTTCAACAATATGTAACTTATTTTCAAGCTCCAGTTGTAAGTTGTTTGCCTCGCCTTTTCCTTTAGAAATTGTAGTAGTCACCCTTTTTATTTTTTCTTATGGTTCTAGAGTTTCAGCTTCTAGAACAACCATTTATTTTTCAACATCACATATTTGGTAACTAGAGAAAATTTTTCATCTTGAAATATCTCAAGGCTATTGTTCAAGAGATTCTTCTCAGTGATTAGATCAATGATCGAATCAATTAGCACAACAACTAGATTTCTAAATTTTTTAATGGAAAAGCTATTTACATTTTGCTTAAAGTCGGATAGGGTTACCTCTTCGTTATCCTACTTTTGCATGAAAGCAAACATAGAGTCAAGCAATTCTTCGTCATCTTTTACTCCAAGCATAGAAGAACCATCAGAGTGTTCAGAATCATCTAAGTCACTTGAGGTATTTTTCTAGACATCCAGAGTTTTCCTCATTACACAATCAACAGTTTCTGTTATGCTTGACTTTTCATCGACCTGGTCCGTTCTTTTGTATTTGCCTTTGATAGCGAGACTGTCCTTTCTTCTATGCATATCATGAACTTGAAGATGTTCAACAACAGTACTTTAGGATCTTTGCCTCATAGATAATATTGACTTCATCAGTCTAAGATCTGGGATGAATCTCCAATATTTTAGTGATCTGCTTCCAAGCAGTGACAAGTTCTTCTAGGAACATCGGCTCATTTGTAATGGTGGAGAATCTAGAACGCAAATCATGAATATATTTACCTTCTTTCATGGTGAAGTTGTCAAACTGAATAGTGAAGAGATCTATATAAGATTTATTTTTTTGCTCAGTACCTTCGTACACTACTCTCAAACGATTCCAGATTTCCTTGTTGATTCATAATATGAAATCAGTTCAAATTCATTTGCTTTGATTCCACGCATCAACAAATTCATAGCTTGGTTATTTTTCTCAACTATTCTTTTGTCAAAGTCATTATATTGCTGTCGGATTTTTAGAGCAACCTTTGTGACATTCCCATCTCTTACTTCTATAGTTGACACATAGGGACCCTCACTAATAACATCCTACAACTCACAATCCTTAGTTATTGTATAGTCAAACATATACATTTTCCACCACCTTCGTTGGAGACCGACCTTATTGCAAGTTTAGTGGAGCTGTCATTCTTTGTGGGAATCTCTCTAATGGTGTTAACCATATTGAGAGCCCAAACTCTGATACCAATTGTTGGAATGTATGCGTTTAACACTCTGAAACTTTTTTTAAGCTAAACTTGAATCATCCTTTGTATTAAGTAAGTTTTTATCAAGGAATTTAAAATGTTATTAAGTGTTAAGGTCACTAGATGTAGCACCTTCCATTCCAAAAAGAAAATAACTAAAGAGAATTCATTCAAGTCATTTCTAAGTTCTTTTAAATTTTGAGTCAACTTCAAACGATCATAAATTTTAGTACACAATGTGCTAGGGGACTCATATGATATGAAATGTACGATCTCTGATACCTCTTTCTAAATCCACCGACTTTGCTAATTTTTCGAGCTTGTATGAGGGAGATATGCCTTTTGAAAGTCAGACTATCCATTTAAGAAAATTTGCCTGAAAATAAGAGGGGTGTTTGTCTTTCCTTACCTCCACTTATTCTAAACAAAGAATTCACTGAATTAATGGTCAAAACTGGTTAGAATTAGTTTAATTCATCCCCAAAAGTGTTTAGAGTTTTAGAGAGAAGATTCAAGATGAGAAAAAGTTTAAAGTTTCAAGCGTTCGTTCAAGAAATTCAAGATTTGGCCAAGAACGTAGTTCTTGGAGATATGTAAACTTTAATATTGTTGAGTTCGTTCACCCAAACACCAACTATGAGTTTCTTTTGCAAATGTATCCATAAATATTAAGCAATTTTAATTTCTTGATGAGTTAATGATAAATGTTCTTGAAGTTTCTTTATCGATTAAGTTTTGATATAAGATTCTACTTGGATCAATTTCAAACAACCATATCTCTTAGAATATAAAGAGTTACGAGGGTCGTAACTTATCAAATTAAAGGTATTTGAATCTACTTCTCAATGCCACCAGTTCCGCGTCAATATAGTTTCTGAATAAAACATTATGACTATTTTAATAACCCGATACAGTGTTGTTATGAATTAACCGATGGAAAAACATTAACGAGGGTTGTTTTTATATTTTACCACCAAGAAAATCCTAAACGAATTTCTTGACTAATAAAAGGCTCAAAATAATATGATTTTCATGTTTTAATCCATTATTCTCTTCTCTCTCAAATCTGTAACACCTCGTAGCAAAAACAGACCAAAAACCAGCTTTACAGAAAAAAAATCTGCAAGTGTAACCAATGGTGGCATCGACGGACCGTAGTGTGAACCACGGTTTGTCCTACACTACCGTCAATGGGATTATAAACTCCCAAAAATTTCAGCCCAAAAAAATTGGTTATGTTTTGGACGACGGACGGACTTACACTTTGTAAGTCAGACAACAGTTCGTAGTCCGTGGCCATCGATCAAGACTCCCCAGAAAAATTGGTTAAGTCTTGGACAACGGAAGGACTTACGGTCCATAGGTCAGACGACGGTTAATAGTTCGTGACTATCGATCAAGACTCCCTTCACCCACTCTCTGACAAGAGCTACGAATGACCAGCATGGTCCGTAGGTGGAAAATTTGCAGACAGTTAAGGGGAAATGTAGTTAGGTCAACTTTAAATGGTCATAACTCTTAGCATAAAATGAATTAGGTGTCCCATGACCTACCCACAGATAGATAACTGAATTATCTTTCCATAGCACAATAGTTCCTAAAATAAGACCTTCCAGTAGAAAGTTATCCCGTTTAAGTGAAGGCCTGTCAAACAGGCCCAGTCGACGGACCCAACAATGGGGCATCGGTAAGACGACGGACCGTCAGTCCTGGCCGTCGTTTGGTCCGACAGCAACTTACCCAGGGGTCTTTTGGTCTTTTCCCACTTCGTTTAAACTTTAGGTTACATCATTTTTAGCCTAAATAATCAGATTTTTATAAGTTTAAGCCTAGAAACATAATTAAATATATCTAAGTCAA